TAAATTTGTCATGGTTTGTGTGGAGGGGGAGGGGTGGTGGTGCAAATTCAAAACATAAAGAGGTGATGTTATTTAACATTAAAATGGGATTTTGACCTTCCTCCCATTAAATACCCCCCTTCATTTTTACCACTACTACCATGTCAATTACCCCCCTCCCAGTAGAATCCCCAACCCAAAAACTGCAGAAGGACAAACTACCCTTGACAATTACTCATCAGTTAGGGTAATGGTGACCCGCCTGTTAGGGTAACAGTAACAGTAGTGGTAGCAAACAAGGTAAGGACAAGAGTAATGGTAATGATAGGATCTAATAAAGGATAGGGACAGAGTGAAAATTTTGGATAAGTATATGGTTTTGATTAGGAATAGGGTTATGGATTTGGAGATGGCTATGGGGAAAGACAGGGTTAGGTATTGGTATAAATGTATTGTGTAGTACGATAATTACACAAGGTGATAATTGAGAGGAGGTAATTGATCCGGGGGGGGGGGGGGGGGGGGGCTAATGACAGGGTGGGGGTGGGTAAGGTCTTACACCCAGGTAAAGCATGTCACAATTTGTATAAAATTAAGGTTGAATTTTAGATAAATGCTTAGTTAGATTTAATATGTTTGGCAATTCTGTACATATTATTTAACATTTCATTTGTACTGTTGGCTTCTATTTTGTAGTAGATATAGAGTATGCTGTATGTGTACAATGTTCTATTATACTTTCTTATATGTTTTTCATTGTTTTTTGTTTTTTTACGTCAATGTTATGCTTTGGAATTGTTTGATATTACCATGTATGAAGCCTCTTACTTAATAATATTTGGATTTTTTTTTGTATATGTAAACTGTATCATAAGGGGTTGTTGCTCACCAGGACAGGGAAAGTAAGTAATAAACTGTTTTCTGTTGAATGGTCTGACTTTGATGCTTATTTAATTGGTTTAATGAAATGTGATATTGAGGAATGGCAGGTGATGTGTATGCTATTTTTTAGAATCACTTGAAAGTGTACGTTTGCTGTTTTGAGCATAGCTTTATGTAACTCTTTTAATTTTTCTTAAAAATTTTGTGAACAAACATATATAGGCCCTACCTGTGTCAATATTAATTGGGGATTGAACTATGTAACATTTTTTGCATGGGGGGGTCTTTTTGTGCTGATACAAAGGAAAGCTGTTAAGAAGGCGAACTGGCTTAGTGACATAATTTATGGATAACCCTCTTTACACATTAGTAAATATGTACCTTATGTTAAACTTGCTTAGTGAAAGGCAACACTTTATTGTTCAATACAGTTTGATTATAAATTATATTAATTATATTTTATCTGCTTTAAGTATATCTAGACATAGGTTATTAACCTTTCAATACTAAATTTTAAAGTGATGATTTGCACTGGTCACTATTAGTACCTTGATAGGTTTAGTAGTCGCATAACATGATTTATGAAAATTGTCTTGTAGTATAATTATATGCTCTTCTAAAATATTTTCAGGGAAGGATTTCCTATTCAACCTAGTCAAACTGGATTCTGTAAAGTTTACCACCTTACTCCTCTTCTCTTAAATAATCGTGATAAAAGGGGCCTTGCCCTTGATGGCAAACTAAAGCATGAAGATACAAATTTAGCTTCATCAACTATGTGAGATTTTTAAAAAATGTTTTATTTAAATTAAGTTATCTGTAACTGTTAGTAAGGTCATCCATTTATGACTTCCACAAAAATTTGGGATTTTAGATCTTCCCCCCCCCCTCATAAATGAATGAAATCTAAAAGTTTTCATTACTTACTATTTAAAAAAAAATATAGTTCCTTATACAGCTAAGTAGCTTAAAAATTATTCAAATGTTAAAAAACCTTTTTATTACTTTGGGTTTTTGCAGAATGACAGAAAAGAGTCAAAAAGAAAGTTTGGGCATTGTTGTATCATACAGAGTGAAAGTTAAACTTATCATGGGATTTGGATCTGGGTAAGTAGGAAAAAAGTTATTCAGGGATTTCAATTCACCTTTGAAAGCACAGGTTCCCAAACTTTTTGTGGCGATCCCTTTTTAATAAAAGCTTAGTGACCTTCGACCTCATACAATTAAAAAAGACTTTTTGTTTGGTTTAGTTGGCGACCCCCTGAAACCCTTCGCGACCCCCCCCCCCCCCCCCACCCGACCCAAAATTTGGGAACCAGTGCTTTAAGGTACAGTGTATGGTTTCAGCATGTAAGCTGATAATTTTAAACAGTCTTGTGATTTATTGCCTCAATTTCTTAAACTTATTTCTTGCATTTGTTTGGTTAAACCAGAAGTATATAATTGGAAGCAGGCCATTACTTGTCTACTACTTCCCAGTTATCACCTTATATCTATTACCCCTCTGTCAACAGTAAATAATAATATTAATATTTGTCTTGTGATGACTGTTCATACATTTGATGACAAAAAACGTGGTCACGTTCACCATCAAATTTCCAAAATTCGTGTGTTGTGTGCTTTTCGCTTTAATCATAAATCTGCCCGACCCACGTTTTTTGTCATCAAATGTATGAACAGTCATCACAAGAATCTGCACAGCTCAAGGAAGCACAAAATTTACGAGCAGTCATTGGTAGATCCCCTAGGGTCGGAAGAAAAATTTATTTTCTACTTTTTAGTCCACAAGAAAAACGTGGTTTTTTAAAAAAGTTTTTTTTAAGTATTTTATTTTCTCCTTTTTAGTCCGTTGCTACACATGTAAAACGTGGTTTTTAAAAAGTTTTTTATATAGTTTATTTTCTACTTTATCTAATGACTTGATTAAGTATGACTTGACTAAGTGTTTTTAAATACACGGACTAAAAATCTTGAGCGACCGATACGCTTTAAACAGAGAAGGAGCGTAATTTAATTAAGCTAATTTAGGTCTCTAATTGCTAGTTTTTTATGATTGCATCTGAAATTGTTAGGCGATGACATTTGATGACACGAATTTTGGAAATTTGATGGTGAACGTACCCACGTTTTTTGTCATCAAATGCCGTGACCAGGATTCGAACCTGGGTTGTCGCGGCCACAACACTAAGTACTAACCACTATACGATCACGGCCAGCGCGCTCACATCGATTGGGGCCGAAGTAACTGTGTCAATAGGCCTCCAGTCTTGTCGATATCTTTAGAAATCATGTCCTCAATTTTAGGGTCCTTGGGGCGTAATTTAATTAAGCTAATTTAGGTCTCTAATTGCTAGTTTTTATGATTGCATCTGAAATTGTTAGGCGAAAATAGCCTGCATGCCGAATTTCAGATCTCTAGAGCAATCAGAAGTGGGCTAATTTTCGTTGTCAATTTTAACAACAAACCTACAAACGCGAAGCTGAGTTAAGAAAAACGTGTTAAAATGATTTTTTTTTTACAGAAACCTCTAATCAGCTCCCCAAAGTTTGATGGTTAAACCGCAATCGACTTTAATTTTTATAAAAAAACAAATTGCGCCCTGTCGGGGCGCCACCTCTGCGAATTTGAATTTTTTTTTTACTTTCTCGTATACAAAGTATAGAGAAAGTATTATAGTCATGCAAAAAAAAATCTAGATTTTTACAAATCTTGACGTTTTACACCTCCCTGAGTAGGAAAAACATAGTTTTGCAATCTAGTTTGTATGTCTCTGTCTGTCTGTGTCTGTTTGCCTGTGTGTGTCTGTTGGTCTCTGTCTGTCTGTCTGTGTCTGTCTATGTGTCTGTCTGTGTCGGTCTGTCTCTGTCTGTGCGCAATTCTTTTTTCTACAAGATCTGTTCTATTTTTAAAAGTTTAAGTAATTAAAAATCATTTCTATATCCCGAGTTGCCATCCCACGTAGTGTTATATAAGAATATTCCAGAAAGTTTAGGGGAGATTACTCCCGGTTTATTTTTTGCAGAAACCTCCCCAGGTGTATTCTCAACAACTTCCCAAAGTTTCATGGCGGATGAAAGGTGTAGTAATGCATAAAAGACAGACAGAAAGATACACAGACACACATACATTGCTTTATATATATATATATATATATATATATATAGATAGATAGATAGATAGATAGATAGATAGATAGATAGATAGATAGATAGATAGATAGATAGATAGATAGATAGATAGATAGATAGATAGATAGATAGATAGATAGATAGATAGATAGATAGATAGATAGATAGATAGATAGATAGATAGATAGATAGATAGATAGATAGATAGATAGATAGATAGATAGATAGATAGATAGATAGATAGATAGATAGATAGATAGATAGATAGATAGATAGATAGATAGATAGATAGATAGATAGATAGATAGATAGATAGATAGATAGATAGATAGATAGATAGATAGATAGATAGATAGATAATTCATGTGTAACTGTTACCGATGGCTAGTCATAATATATTCGACAAGATACTAGTTCTTCCTACTTTAGTCTTTATTCAGAACATTGCTAACATCAATCTACATCAACAACATACCCCGAACCTATTTCTTCAATACCTAGCCGCTAACTCCTAGCTTACATTCTATATCAACAATGTTCTTTCTACCTTCTACTATCTCACTATGCTGTCACATCTTCATTCGTTCAACATACGCACGCACTAACATTCACGCACACCAATCTATACTCAGAACATGCATCATAACATAAACGCCCAGTCTCCCCCACAAGCTAATAACATTAGCTTCAAATACCATACCAATAGTTCAACATATTATTCCACCAACAATATCAACTAGGGTAATATATACATATCATATACATAATAATATCAAATTCTAATTAATTCTGGCATTAAAGCTTATAGCTTTACCTCACACACACATATTTATTATATTTCATTCTACTGACATTCCAATGATAACAACAGTTTGTCCAGGATCTGTCCATTAGATAAGGTATTGTTGGTTCTTGGTTAGTTCCACAATTCTCTCAACATCACATTCAGAAGTTCTACCCATAGTATCACATCAGCATTGTACATCCCCTCCCACCAGTTGCTATAATAGAACAACCAAACATCACATTACTTCAAACATGATTCAGTATCATCCTACTTACTCCACTTTTTGTTCCTATTTACTTTATTACATTTGGTACGATCTACATGGTTTGAGTTATCATATTTTTTTAGATTAGTCTACTCCTACACTTTACCCACAAGTTTTCCTATTTCACTTTCAAGTATACTGATTTTGTTTTCTAAATTCTGAACCTTACTACTGTTATTATAATCCCTCACTCCAGGAACATTTCCTATTATTAAGTCATATGGACCTCTCAACACCACAAAATCTTCACACCCAGTATCGTGATGCAGAGGCGAATCGGGTGCAGGGGGTGACTCATGGTGCACAGGGTGTCACCATTTAAGGGGTGACACCATGGCGAAAACTTGCAAAATATATAGAAGAAATATGCTTTTTACCAGTTCTATTAATGGTTAATTAGAGTTAATCCACCTGTATTAATAACTGACTTAAGATAACCATCTTTACTATTACTGTGTACACTTTAACACTATCACCCTGCGAGGAATAAATGCTTGCTGAGTATTTTGAATAACAGATAAGTCAATCAACGACAAGAGAGGGAGTGACACCAAAAACGAATGACTTACGTTGAAGATGATGCTTTTTCCACTTGAATTAATTGGTGGATTGTGTGCAAAAATTAATTCCATTAGGATAATTGGAAAAGGGTTGTCACCAATTGGAACTATATATATATAGCCCTATGTAGACCTTAATTAACATATATATATATATATATATATATATATATATATATATATATATATATATATATATATATATATATATATATATATATATATATATATATATATATATATATATATATATATATATATATATATATATATATATATATATATATATATATATATATATTACACAGGTTATTGGGGGGGGGGGTGACACCATGAGCTCCCACACTGGGTGACACCCAACCTCGCAATGCCACTGATTTGATGTGATCTAACAAATACCCTAGCTATAGGCCAACTATAACTTTTACCACCAAATACATTAACATGCTTCCTTTTATTTATAAATTGCTTTCTTTTATTTATATATTGGTGAGGTTGAATAAAATTAGCCCTTTCTGCAATAATTAAGGCACCAGTATCCCTGATCTTTAACACTTAGTGGGGGCCTATTAGATGAACTCACAATGACCCCAATCATTGATCATATTGCTATTGTTCAGGCTATAACTTATGTTAAAGTTTTTATGTGCACTAACTGTGACCCCACAAATGGAGGTATTTTTCTAGAGCAGACTAGAAAACGTAAGCAGACTATAAGTGGGCGCCAACGTTTCAGATTTTAAATATAGATCTAGATTTTTAACAAATTTAGTCTAAAATAATATTCTCTTTATGAACTTTCAGAAACCCGTCGAATGAGACATGATTTTTCTCCAGCTGACTAGAAAACATGAGTGGTGGTCATAGAAGCAATTATGTTAAGATATTTTAATATTTAAAAAACAATTCAAATTAGATCAAGAACTTTAATAAAAAAGAATAGCATACAACACTTGTGGTGATATATCTACTTGTTTCATTTATAACTTTTTCTTACCACACATCTGGAGAAAAAGCAAACCACCAAAGGCATCAAACAAAAAAACTGTCTCACACATTATGTCTTGCTATTTACCAGTAATTCTGCAGGTATGCCTCGGAATTTGCCGCCTCGCCATTTTGCATCTCTCAATTTACCAACACTGTTACTTTGAGATTATTAGTAGATTTTGTTTTAAAGTCATTTGATTTAGGCATACACTATCGTAGGTTTTAAATAAATAATGATGAAGCCCCTACAGTGCTGTGGTTACATGCTATATCAGGGTCTAGACGTAATTGTTTTCAAATTTATAATTTATGTTTCAGTTGTTCCAAAATCTCCTTGAAAAGTAAAAAACACCTTGAAATACCATGAATTTTTTGTAGGTCTACCCTTGGTTCTCCATTCATAGTCCATCTCCAGAATTGTTTAGACTAGCCCACTCCATTTGCAGATTTTAATGTACCTATCTGTGGACTGTCGCCTTGTGATTTGCCAGAGGTGGTCATTGGACTTTATTATGGCCATTGCATTTTGAGTATTTTTATAGGCATATATTTGTGAAGAACTGTAATCTGTTGTTCGATTTTGTAACCCTCCAGGTCTCTGGCTTCATAATAATAGGCCTACTGCCTTGACATTTGTTCTGAAGATTCTATCTTGCTCTGGAGGTACAGGGCTATGCAATTCTAGATCAGGTGTAGGGAATTAAAGGCTGATACTGCTTTTTATGTTTGAATCTCCTCTTTGTCCTTGTTTTGGTCACACTTTCCTGATATGTGAATTGGTCTCCTGCAATCCCCCTCTATTTTTTTAAATCTTTATTCTCATTGTTGATAATTTGATTGTGCAGGGAACTTGCTGTGGAGCTGCCATTCACTTTGACTCATCCCAAACCTCCTGATTCACCTACCCCATCTAGATCTGCTAGCATTGCTCCACCAGAAGGTGGAGATGCTCCTGTTGACACCAATCTCATACAGTTGGATACAAAGTAAGTTCATAACCTTAGAAATGAAAACATTTTACATTCCTTGTGAAATTTGGTAGCACACTACTTAAATTGACTTTTCAGAATTTGGGCAGATTTCCAAATTTTTGTATAATAGTTTTTTTCCACACAAAAAAGCAAGAAAAATCTTGCATGCAGGGTAACATAGTATACCAGTATTTTTGTATTGGGGAAAAATCTGAGTTTTGAAATTTTTAATAGCAGTCAATGCCATTCTAAATTCTACATTTTAAATACTATCAAAATGACATTTTTGGGCTCAATTTAAATATTATTTCCAAACGACTATTAATTTAAAATAAATAGTAGATCTATCTACCAGTACCAGATCTACCTAACTTCAGCTATTTTTGGTGGATTTCATTTTCCATTACATGAACTAAAAAGTTAAAATTTTAATTAGACTCTTTATTGTTGAATATGTACGCTTACATTTTTTTTAAAGATAACAAGATAAAACCTCATCCAATTGAAACCAAAAAATGCATTTAGATCAGGGGTCTCCAAACTTTTCAGTCCGAGGGCCGCATTAACTATAACATTTCAGTTCGGGGGCCAGTTTCTTCCAGGCATGTCTTTGATTTTTCTGGGCAAACTTCCTCAGCAATTACAGATAAGCAATTTTTCCTTGGACAAAAAGATCTCCGCGGGCCGGATGAGAGGACTTCGCGGGCCGCATACGGCCCGCGGGCCGTAGTTTGGAGACCCCTGATTTAGATCATTATAGTTTAAATTTGTATAATTAGTATGACTATTAAAAACAATTTTCATTTTTTAGTTAAAGTGTGAATTTTTTAAAACACTGTTTATAGGGAAACTTTGCAATTATAAAAGGGCTTTTAGAGTTATTTTTAGGTTATCATTTGAGCCACTTTTCAAGCTGTTACCTTGGTAATGATGGCTGCCAGAAAGGACCAATCCACCTTTTGTTTTTTGACAAGGTTGAATGGTCATTTCAAAACTAAATATTGTAATAAGTTTTATCAAGCAAATTGTACAACTATACTGTTTAGTGTTTGAATGCACTTTCCATCTGTGGTATACTTGATCATTTTGCTGAGTACAAAGTAGTGAAAAAAATTGTAAGAACTAAAATTTTGTTGCATAAATGCCCTGCCATAATAAACTAACTTCATTAAAAATATATCTGACTGTTAAGCCTGCTATGTGAGAGGTTCTAGCACTACTATTATACTCCGTCTAGCCAATTACTAGTTCATTCTGAAGTGAGACGAGATGAAACGATCTAAATGACTTGATAGAAGACGCTATATAACTCTACTGTTTATTCCACAATACAAATACATACAACAAGAACAAGACTCCTTTCTAACTTCTTCCCCGGAAACAACAAACTCACACTAAAACGTCACTTTCTTGCGTACCGCGTCACACTTTCCCTCGTACAATATACGGTCGCACCATCAATCATGGGCACCACTTTGCCTAGTCAAACATACATCATAACACTGACCCTGAAGAAAAATTAATAAAAATAAATAATAACTTGATCGAGACAAAAGTAGCCTGTCACTTGGCCTACTTTTTTTGCAGTCATGGTAATGATGGCTGCCAAAAAAGACAATACTGTCATTCCGTTTTTTAACATTGTTTCATGGTCATTTCAGAGACAAATACTTTTTACTGTTATTTTTGCGTATTGTTAAACGGTACCGATCTAGTTTTAAAATGGATGATTTATGTTTGTTGCAAACTTGCCATTTGTACATTTTTTTGGTCTAATTGCTGAGAATATCGAGCTGAACATAAGGTTACCAAAATGTTAATTGCTTTATTTAATATTGTTGTAAAAGTACTAAAAAATATTAAAAACTATAGAAAATTATATATTACGTCCTACTATTATGCATGTTATATTTTGGTATCAAATTAAAGGTAAACAGATTTAGTTTTTAAATTTTTAAGCCATATTAAACAAAAATATGAAGTTTAAAATGTTAGGCAGTAGCCTAGTTATTTAGGATTAACAGAAACTACTTTTATTTTAACACAAAAGCTGTATTCAGTTATCTATTAGTAACATAATCCTGTGAGACTGCTTGTTTTCAATTCATTAGATCTGCATAAAGTGTATTAAGTCTGATCTGAAAAAATTCCCCTATTTATGATGCTCTTACCCCATCAATTTTGTTACTGTTATTTATTTAAGTCAATTCTATGTTAATCTAACATCTTACTCCATCCCTTTTGTTACTGTTATTTATATAAGCCATTTCTATGTTAATCTAACATCTTACTCCATCCCTTTTGTTACTGTTATTTATATAAGTCAATTCTATGGTCCTAAAAAAATGTACTAGTTTGATTATGTTCAAAATGCACCTTGAGTAAGAGCTAGTGTTACCTGTGAAATCTATTCACTGAAAAAAAAATTATTTACTAGCAAGCAATTAATTTAAATGATCCAGAAGATAAGTAGTTGTGACATTTTAAGAGATGACGCTAGCTATAATTTAAAAAAACAGGGTGGTGAAATACGAACTTCCAAGCATTCGAACAAACCGTTATTATAGTTTTGTCAGTATTACTTTAGACATTTACAGAAAAGAGACTTTCATTGTTATAGATTAAAAGATATGCAGATGCTGTAAAGAATAGGGATGTAAGCGTGCAAAACAAAATTCGAGATTTTAAAAAATCTCGACGTTTTACAACTGAGTCGGAAAAATATAGTTTTGCAATTTTGTCCGTGTCTGTATGTATGTGTATGTGTGAACACGATAACTTGAGTACTGTTACAGCAAGACTGATGAAATTTCAAAGATAAGTATAAGTATTATGTCAAATTTGTAGTTCTGTATCAACTTTTCACCTATTTCTGGTAACCGGAAGTGGAACTTATTCTACATTTGGTTTTTCAAAAGCCTTATAACTTGAGGAATGTTTCAGATAGATAAAAGAAATTTCACAATAAGTAAAAGATCTAATCCTCTGCCTTGTGTCTAATTTTGAATAATTTCTGTTGACTGAAAGTAGTACTTTATGCTATTTCTGATTTCCCAAAAAAACACATGATATTATAAAGTACTAATATTCCGCAGTATTATACACATATTCTTTGCTGTTCACTTGCTGTGCTTTTTTTAGGAGATTCTTCTCTGTTTTGAAAAAGTATGTTAAAACTGATTAAAAAGAATGTCTTTTCCCTGAGTTGCGATCCCTGTAGTGTTATATAAGAATATACAAGTTTAAGCTAGATCACACCCGCTTTATTCTAGTTGGCCTTCAAGGAAACATATGCATAAATGCAAACTTAAATGGATACAAAACACAAACATCTCGCACCATTGAAGAAAAGCTTTTGTTTCATTTAGCTTGTTAAACATGTTCTGTGGGGATCATTTCACCAAAAACAATGAGGCTCTGTCTTGGTGGTTAATTTAAAAACCTAAATGTAGTTGCTTATGTTTGATCTCTATTTAATGCACATTGTCTTAACAAAGTGTTAAAGCAGTTACCCAATAAGGAAATTGAGGTTCATTAAACAAAATCTGAGATAAAATGGCATTTTTATTTTGTTTCATAGATAGAAAAAAATATGTTTTTACAACTTAAATATAGCAAATTCAAATTTATCTAGACAGTCTATCCATGGGTTTCCAACTTGTGCGTCGCGAGGGGTTTCCTTGAACATAAACTTCAATAAAATCGGCTTTACAAAATTGATACACAAAGTTGTTCTTAATTACAACTTTACATACCCTTCAAAACTCAAACATCACTTAGAGATGAATCATTCAGAACGCACTGAAAATTATTTTTGACTTATTTCATCGCCTTGAAACTTTTTGCAAAGGTCAGACATATTCTAACATGAAGCTTTCAGCAAGAGAGAGCAGTGTATCGCAATCTTTAAAACGGTCATAGAAGCCACGGGGAAGCTCTGGGCACCAAATCACACCCTGCCCAGGCATCGGAGCATGCACTAGATTTTGATTTATTGAACAATTATTGTAGCTGATCAGATCCATAGTGTATGGCACTCTTTAAAATGAACATAATGGCCATAGTGCTCACAGGGGAGACCAGTTCGCCAAATTACACCATGCAGGTGAGCCGCCTCTCCATAATAAAAAAAAAATCTTTTTTGCATAACCTTCCCAGGGGTATTCTCATTAACTCTACAAAGTTTCAAAGCAGTTAAATATATGGTGTAGTGATGCCATAAGACAGACAAACCCACAAAAAAACTTTAATTTATATATATATATATATATATATATATATTTATATATATATATATATTAATATTTTTTTGGCCTAATGGCCTTCCGGCAAGTGGCTCTGACGTTTGTCAAAATCGGGCTAGTATTCACTCAGGAAAATGGCCTTCAGGCAAATGGCATTTGGGCAAGTGTTTTTTGGAGAATTTGTTTAGTTGTTTTGATCTTACTTTAGAACTATTTGGCTCCTAACTCCTATATTTTGATACACTATATTGAAGGTTTTGTCAGTGCTCGTTCATTGATCAAATACAAGTAAGGTCTCTCATTGAAACTATTTTGTTCATTTTGAAAATTTAAATTATGATAACTAGATACTAAATTTTTTAAAATATATATACCTTCAAATTATTTTGTTCTTATTTTCTTATATAAATCTGAGTCCAAAGGTTATTGTCCAGAGGGTTTTGATCCAGAGGGTAATTGTCCTGGAGCCCTGCATTGAGGTTTCTCTTAGTCAGAGGTGCCTTAGAGTTTCTAGACATAAAGCTTTAGAGGGCCAACAAAAATTGTAACAGTGGAACTCTAGTCTCAAATTCTCTACAGCTTTATTATTCAATAACTTTAAGAAAAAGAAGAAAAAAAGTCAATTACAATTTTTCTTTTATTGAAAATATGACAAAAAAAATCAAATTTTTTTTTTAACTAATGCCATTTTTTAAATAATCTCTTGAGTAGGAAAACAGAATATTAAATTGTAAGTAAAGTTGTCGGTAAATGTAAAAAATATTCATTAAATTTGATGTTACTAAATAAATTATATTACCAAAGATATAGGCTCATATTTTATTATCAATTACTATTCTAAAGAATTTTCATCTAAAAATAGATCAAAATTCAAATTGCATTTTCAGTATTCCACTGTTTATAAGTTTTCATTTTACATTGGTCTTAGCTCTCTAACTTTTCCTTAAAATTTGGGGTTTTATATCTATCTATTTCAGTTGGTTTTTTAATTCTGAAATAAGCATATTATTTTAACATGCAATTTTTTTTTATATAGATCTGTATAAAAAAAAATCAGTGTTTGCATTAGATCCTGAATATTTTCAATAGAATATTTTAGTACACAAAATAATAAGTCATTAAAATTGTCTTCTGTTTTTCTGTTTTGTTTAAAACTGGTCATTCACTAAGTTTGCTTTAGTTCTTTAGTTTATCTGTTTTAAAGCATTAAATACTTGTTTTATTTGATCATTCACTTGTTTGCCTTGTATAGAATAACAGACATTCCATGTCTAGAAAACATTTAAGGGAATGTGATCATGTTTGGATTACATTGGTCTTCACTATGGAACAATTTTGTGATGGAAAAAATATAACTATAAATAACTCTTTTTATCATATTACAGCATTTTCTAAGAACTTTTCATCTCATTGTGTTTCGTCAACAAAACTTGTCACAAGCTAACCTACCATAGTTATAACCTTAAGTAATATCCTAACCAACCCTTACTGTTAAAGACAAATAATTGAGAAAGTTTAGCGGAGCTCAATGCAACTTTATCTACAACTTTTACGTCACACCACATTTTCACGTCATTTAAATAAAATATCAATTAAAGCTTTTTGTCAAGTGTTTAAATTAAACACTTTTTACATTCTCATATACAAATTATAGAGGAAGTATTGTAATTGTATAAAAAATCGAAAAATGTAGTTTTGCAAACAATTTATTCTGTCTGTCTCTTTTTTATGTTGACGAAATTTCATATATCAGATTTGTAGTTTTTGATCAACTTTTAAGCTATTCTTGCAAACCGGAAGTGGTAACTACTCTACTTCTGGTAGATAACATGAGTACTGTTTCAGTTAGATGAAATTTATCTATAAATATAAGATCTTATACTTGAATCACTTTCAATATTCAATTGACCTCCAATATCCTGAAGTGGTACTTTACTCTGTTTCTGATCTCTTAAATACAAATAACTTGACTACCATTTCTGTTATTTAATTAGTATTTGCTCCTGTATGTTGATGTCTATAACCTTTTGCCTGTAAATGGAATGGGTATTTTACTCTTTTTACAATTTTGTGAGAAATGTAGAGCAAAATTTCTACCATTTCTACTTGATCAATTTATTCAAACTTTTTACCTAGGTCAAGACTCAATGACAATGCAATGTGACAAATACGACTAAATTAGATGTTTAATTAACTTGTTTAATGTGGTAGTCTTTTGGCATCTATGTTTTTTCTCAAAAAAAAAAAACAAGCCATTTTATCACAAACATCGATATTTCTATAGCCCAATTACTATCATTATAATAATCATTTTTGAAAATTTCATACATTAACACAACACAAAAGTATATTTTGAGTATGGTTATTGAATGGATTTTCTATGGGAACACATCTTAGACTTTTCTTCTGACTGTACAAAACACAACCTAAGGACTGCTTAACTAGACTTAAGCATACAAACGAACTTTGCTAAATCTAGTAAATTAGCCTGCAACTGCTATCTTCGGTTTTTGTTATACTTTTACTACTATAAATCTCAATTCTGTTACAATATTTATTATATTAACCATATGCTAACATTTTTCTACATATATAAATATAATTTTCTCAGTACATTTCGATAGTTTATCAAGATAATATGTATGTCAATGAACATCATAAAATCTGCCACTTTCTAAAAATCCTAAAAAAAAATTACTGTGTGCCCTAACGGTACTCATAAGTATTCGTGTAAACACTGATCTATTACAAAGACAAAATTTGATTCAAATTCAATAAATAGAAGTTAAACACACTTACCTAACTATTAAAGATGCCAATAAAAAATAACTGGTCTTGAAAACTTGAATATTAAGGTAAAACGAAGCAAAATTAAGAACACATGTGAGGTCTGTACAACACAATTGTGAATTACCGATATAGGAAGAGATTGAAAATAGTGCAGCACCGGTAATTTTCAAAAAATGGCGATCCGGCTTACAAGCTGTGACTCAACGGAGACAATACTATTAGTTATAACAATAGTTTTAAAAATTCAACTTAAAACTTATACAGGCGCTTAATTAAAGTGGTACTTATAAGTACCATCAGAGTGGAGATTACACCTGCTTTATTTTTATAGAAATTAGAAGTGTAATATTTATTAGTGACAGAGCAGAATTGAAACTTTACTTCATATCACAAGTTTTGTTGACATCAGAATAATAGATTTGCTACATTTTGGTTGTTCTAACTTAACTTTTTTTAAAAACCTTTTTACTTTTGAATATTGAATGAAACTTTATTATGGTGAATTTTTTTTTCAAAGTTTTTTCATTACTACCAAAACAATTTTTTTAGTGTTACATTCTTTAAAAGACTTAAAACTAGTCACTGCAAGGTAAGTTATACTTTCATCTTTCATATGTTTGAAGTGGCTTCTTGCTTGAAGTGCAAGGAGACTTTTTTTTTTAATTAAAAAATAAATAAAAAGTTGACCAATGTTTACCAACAATTATTTTAATTTAAAAATTGACTGTTATTCTGATTGATATATTATAAAAGCATGAGATGTTCAATTTTAAACAGGAAAAATGAGCACCTCCCCTTAAATTTTTTTTATCAAATATCACTATGAAAGTAATAATTCTAATTAAACACTTGTCACATATTATTCTATCAAGATTGCTTAATGATGTTTATGAAGTAGAAATGGGGCTTTGCAATTTTGGTTAATACTTATTTAAAAGTAGAAAATACTATTTGATTATAAGGCAATAAAAAATTAATAAGTCAAGAACTATCAGGAAACCGCTTTATTTAGAATATTTTAATAATTTAATCAAAGTATGATTTTGAAGTGTTGTTTCAAATTTTTAATTTTGTGTATGGGTGTAAAAAGAAAAGTAAAATAAAAAGCATGAATTTATGGGCAAGAAAAAGTTATGGATTTTTTCCAGTTATATTACCTGCTTAATAGCTGAAATTTTTTTTAATTCACAATCAAACTTGTATACTTAGAATATCTGGATCCATTTTTCTCTCATATTTCTATTTTCAGTGGTGAAGCTTTCTACGGAGATAAGGATGATGATTTTATTTTTGAAGATTTTGCACGTCTACGCTTAAAAGGACATGAAGGAGATGATACAGAAGCTTAGAGCAACCATAAGCATGTTTTTAATCAGAAGAAATGTAATTTTAATGGTACTGCTTAGTTCTACGTGGAAGTAGAAATAATACTTTTCTTTGCTTGATAATTACAATGATCATGTAATTTTGCATATATTTAACAGTAGAGGGTTAAAGTATGTATTATACTCATCTCATTATGGTTTTTTTTTAAGCATAATGCTACTAATTATTAATATTTAGACATAAAATTATTTAACAAGAACCTTTTACCAAAGAAAATATTACATAATGAGTTGCATTGCTAACATTAGTAATATATCAAGTATTTTAAATGAAACATAAATGTAATCTAAAGAAACTAATTTAGACATGGGTGTGACTTTACTGATTGTTAGCAAAAATCCAATTTTTCCGTTTCAGGTGCAATTTTCCTCCACTGATTTTATTTTCTCGTAATTATTCCGATAATTTTCTAATTTTGTTGATTTTTTTGGAAGCTTTAATAATTCTGAAAAAAAAATTTTAGATTTAAAATGTTGTTTATAAGGTAAATTGCAATTAGACAAGACTTTCAGTGTTATTTTAGAGTAACATAAACTACTTTTATATAAAATATTAGCTATATTAAAGAATTAATTAGTTCACTAATGATGTGAGAGTGCTTTAATTGCAGTAAAAAAAAGGTAAACATTAAATTATTGTGCAGAAAAAGGTCCCATTTATTTTCATTGTCAGTCCACATCCCTGTTTAGATTTATTTGGTTAAAATTATTACACTATGTTTTCCTGTCCATAAACTCTTGGAATGATGAGAATAATCAGATCCCTACTTGTATATCAGACTTTTTTAACCTTCAAAAGTGATTAAAAAATCTCAAAATATTTTTTTTTAATCTTAGAACGTTTCAAGATAAATTATACAAGTAGATACTACTTTGCTAGACTAAGTTGAAAAAGAGTAGGCCTACTTCATAGTTAGAAATTTTAAATTTTTGTCAAACATTATGTCCTTTTTTGATGTATCAATATATTTTTTTGTATTAAGGGTATGGGCGGAGGATGAAAACCAAAATAACCAAAATGCTTGAGCCGACCCGCGACGTAGCATATTTAGTTGTTTTACTTTCTATTTTTCAGTAATTCATAATTTGTGAATTCGACCTATGCTGCGACTGAAAATATTTTCCTTAAAAACACTATAAGTATAAGTACGCTGAAAATTTCATATCATTGACATGGTGGTGGCAGCCATCTTGGCTTGATTTATTTTTACTATTTTAATACTAAAAAAAACTAAAATTGTTTAAAATTTTCTCTAGTAAATCTGTATACATATACCAACAAAACTGATCGAATAAATTTTTGAAAATATGTATGGTTTTTCTATTACAGTTAAAATGGTGTATTTTATGCACAAATTTCATTTTAACTTTCTCGTATACAAAGTATAGACTATAGAGAAAGTATTGTAATTATGCACACAAAAAAAAGTCGAGATTTTTGCAAATCCTTATGTTTTACATCTCCCTGAGTCGGAAAAACATATTTTTGCAATTTGTCCGTATGTATGTGTGTTTGTGTCTGTAAACAAGATAACTTGAGTACCATTAGATGAAATTTCATATATAAGTATTATATCAAATTTGTAGATCCTTATCAACTCTTCAGCGATTTCCGATAACCGGAAGTGGAACTTTTTCCACTTTCAATTTTTCATAAGCCTATAATTTGAGTACTATTCCAGATAGATAATGAAATTTCACATGTAAGTAAAAGATCTAATTCTCTGCCTTCTTTCAAACTTTGAGTAATTTCCATTGACCGGAAGTAGTAAGTTAGGCTATTTCCGATTTCTCAAAAAAGGATGTGAATTTATAAAGTACTAATAATATTCCGCACTATTATACACATTTTATTTGGCGTTCACTTGGTGTTCAATTCTTTTTTCTAAGAGATTCTATTCTATTTTAAAAAGTTTGAGTAATTAAAAATATTAGTCTATATCCCAAGTTGCTATCCCCCGTAGTGTTACATACGAATATTCGAGAAAGTTTAGGGGAGATCACTCCAGGTTTACTTTAAAGTGATTTTTAGAAGAAAAAGTTTTAAAAACCAAAGTATTTTAAAATTTAAAAATGTAATCTATCACGATTATTACCACCATGTATCGCTATACTCCTGCAAGTTTTTATTGAATTCACTTAAGCCATCTTTGAGTTATTTTGATGTTAAAAAAGTAAATAAAATATAAAATAGCAGACATCCCCATGGCAATGACATGAAATTTTCGACCACTTTTTATTTTTAGACTTAACTCTTTGACTCATAACTATATTAAGTTAAGAAATAAGCATTTTGGTTATTTTTGTTTTCATCCCCAGCCCATGTCCTTAACCCATGTTTGTATTGCTATTCAATATTTTTATTCATGTAGTCACATATCTTGGTGACCCTTTGTAAATAAGACAAAAAAATTATTCACTAAAGTCTTATAATTATGTGGTCTATAATATTATAGACCAAACGTGCAATTTTATGGGGTCACTTTTATACTAAAATAATGCTTCTATTAGTGATAGCTCAAGATGTACATAAACATCTGATGAGGCTTGGAGTTTCTTAAGTACCAATTTTTCTGTTGTGTAAGATGAGACTACCCCACAAACTTTTCCAGTTTAATAATAAAAAAATACCTGTCAAATAAGATGACCCCCATCTCTTAAGTTTCCTGGGTTGAAAAGTCACCTTATTTGTAGCAAAATATGGCAATGAAATTACATTGTATTGTACCACACTGTCTTTGCTTGTGCTGACACTAGCCGCAGTCACTTACATATACAAATGAAAATATAAAAAAATAAAATAAAATGCCATTAAAAAATTGTATCAACACTACATAAAAACCTGCCAGTAACAAACTAGAATTTACTGTTAGATATTTATGCAAACATGCACAAATACAATGTGTATGTATAAAATTTTCATTTTCAATTACAATATTCTTAAATGGTTTATAAAGTCATGTATTCTTAGTCTACTGTGTACCCTGTCTAATGTTTAACATCCATGGACCATCAATATTACATATTTCCATTGAACACAAGCCCTAAATTATTTAACATATTTAGGCAGACACCCCACAAGACAATTTAGTACCATAGAAGTTGAATCTCACAAATTATTGGAAAATACCTGCTTAGTTTAATCAGAAACTAGTGTAAATCCTTATATTTGGGACAAAATGTTTTAGTTAGCACTCAAAACTTTCACAACCATCCATTCTCAGTAGCAGAAATGTTAAGAAAACAAGGAACAAGCACTTTTATTTATTTCTCCTCACCATCCTAGTAGTATAACACAATTTTATAATAAACCCCTTTGTATTAAAAATATGTGCATGATTCCTAACCATTAATTTTCTTAATGTCCATAATAAAGCCTTATATTTTGATAATATTTGAGCATGATCAGAAATGAATAGTCAATGATCGTGCTAATTATTTAGTTAAGGCAAAGTCATGACATGTTATAGACATTTTATTTTCTTTCTCCCCTCATCAAGTAGAGATATAAAAAAAAATGTTTTAAAACATTTTGTTGTGTATGTCTACATGGTCATATATATAATTGTATACATATATATACAGATACACATACATTTTATATATATACACACATACATATATACATGCCTATACATATATATATTTATATACATATATACACACACATCTGAGCATACAGACATATAAAAAGTGTTTGTACATCTAGATAACTGTGTAGGTATTTAATCCTAGTCATAAATTTGTCATTTATACAATGCCAAGGCTGAAGCTATTTTAGTTTATTTTATTTATGTCCAATGATTGAAAGTGATTGAGGGTTGTTCAGTAACCTATAAGTATCAGTAAAAAAAAATTTTAACTATTTAACAAAATTTAAAAAAAAACCTGATTAAATAAATTAACTTTTAAAGCGCATTTTCATTTCATCAATTGCCATCAATAATAAAAATTATTTTAAGCTGGCAATTAGGACCACTTATTCTTTACTACAATACTTGCAATCAAAAAAGTTTATTTTGGGAAATGTTTTTTCTTGTCACACATTTTTGTCATTCAAAACTATCTGAAGCAAAAATTTTGCCCAACGATTTTTACTTGGCATGGTGGTAGAGAGCTTGACTGCTAACCTGTAACAATCTGCGTTCAAGTCAGTAGACCCGAGTCCACCCAACTCTGATGGGTACCTAACTCATGTTAGGATAAGTAAAGGTGGCTGGGCATAGTGCTGACCACACTATCCCTTCATATGTCGAGGTCACAGAAACACATGAACTCTACTTCACTTGCCCCTAGACCTTACCTTTACTTTGCTAAAAGCAGTAATGATGTTTTAAAAAGAATATTAATGATGGCTGCAATCTACCTTTCATTTTTTCTAATTGGTCATCTTAACCTTTTGCCTGAAAAAGAGCTTTCCAGAAATCTATAGGCTAGGTTGGGTTAATGTCTCCTTATAAATATAAATTATGGTAATCCATTTTCAAGTGTTCTTTGCATGGCCTTTTTAAGGGGGGGAGGGGGTTTTATCTGTTAATTTTAGCCTGGTGATTCCAGATGAGGGCCTCTATTGTTAACAGGCTTCTCTTTTTACTTCTTTTGCTGTATGATTAAACCTTTGTTTTTTTTTTCTTTTGCTTACTGGTTGAATAACACAGCTTACAATTTATCTTACTAAAAAAATTTTCACAATTTAAAAAAAAAAGAACAAAATTTGATTCCATGTCTTTAATCAGTTATACTGAATCAAAATCAAACTAAACATTTAAAATGAAATAATAAAGTTTGCTTTAGAAGTATATTTTGACTGTCGTACTGTTTTAATTTTATAAATATTTTAGTTACTAAAATACCTACTTTCTTTAAGGGAACAAAATAGAAACAGATTGTTACAAGGTTTCTTCAATGAAACTTTTTAATTTGAATCTTCTAAAACTTTTATGCAGTTATCAGGGAGGTATAGTTGATCTTGACACAGACTCTGAGAACAATGAGACTTAATGTTTGCGCTTACTGTTTCTATATTATGTGTAAGTAACTCTTAGAAATTATTTTAGTGCAAACACAATATTCCTTTAGTAAAGATATTACACCTTTATAAATTACTTAGTAACTACAGTTGTTTTCCTAAAACTTTTACAAAAAAAGAAAAATCTGTGTTAGTAAGGTAAAAATATTTATTTGAAAAGCTACACTAATTAAAGCACTTGATATATCTTAAACAAATCCGAGCATTTAGTCTGACTTCGTTTGACTTAGCATGTTAATTAAAATATCTCTTTGATCAACAATCCTATCTTAATTCTGACAGTAATACAAGGTAAGCAATAATAAATTTATAATTATTTCGTAATAATTATTTTGTTATGGCTATCTATGAAAGATACCATTTTAAAATGGTATTAAAAAAGGTTTTTTTTTAACGTTGAACAAAATTATAAAATAAATTATTTCAGTAACTTGCTATAGGAAATGCAAATGTAATAAATATTGCTTTTTTTTCTTTTGTAAACAATAAAAATCTGTTTCCTAAAAAGTAAATTAATCATGAGCTGAATAGGGTGTTCAGGTCCATGTGGCCATACTATTGTTAAACTTAATTTCATACCACTGACACAAAATGTTATTTGTATGCCAAGTGCATTTAATAATATGCTTGGCTTCATCTGAGAAAAACAGCTCAACTTTCAACTATATATATATATATATATATATATATATATATATATATATATGTACAAATTAGATTTTTTGTGGACATCATTGTTAATCCCTTATCACCTCAATATCTATCTTTAAATTCAGTTTTTGCTTTTTCTCCTCTTTTAACTTTGTGTATGTGTAACCTGTTTGGAATGTTGGTTTACTCCTCATGTTAATCTGTGATATGATCACGTGGGTTTTTGTTTATTCATCATACTTTCAAGAGGAGTACCTGTATTATTACATCACTAATGGTACAGACTGATCATTGATTTTTATTGTTTTACAAAGTTAGGGATTTTTAGGAGACGATTGGCTAATCTTTTTTTTTTTTAAATCCAATGACTTTTAGTTATGGTGGCACTTTTGTTTTATATTTTTAATTGTTATATATGCTCAGAATTTTCATGCAAGAAGATTGGCTTTCAATATTAAAGCCATCTGGAAATCTGGTTTTTTTAAGTGCTCATTTTTGTTTAAACACATTCTTAAACTGAAAATATAATTTTTATTTATTATCAATAAAGTAGGTGTCTCTAAACTAATAATCTGTTGTGTTATGCAGTAGATAAAGCAATGTGATTCAACTCTAACTTTTAGAAATATTTGTAGACATTAATAAAACTTCTTGTCATTTTGTCTAGTGTTCCTCTCTCATTCAAATTATAACATCTTTTAGTAAAGATGTATTTTATACTACATGTTTAAAATGTTATATTATTATTTGTGTTTACTGCTATTTAAGTAAAAACTGGCTACATATTTAAGATTTAAAACAACAAATCAAAGTGCAATAAAGTTGCAGTACTTGTGTTTGTACTTTTTCGTTTATATTTATTAACATTTGTTTCTTGAACGGCAGATTTTATTTACTAGGTGTTTAGGCATTGATTTACATTAGTCTGCCCAGGACATAAGTAGCGAAAAATGCACCCCATGCTTACTTAAAGTTTGTACTGTATTGTGTTACATTATGCCACTTCATTTTTAAATATGTAGACTGAATTATCCAATTACATAGTTGCATTTAAAGATGAAATTTTTTAAATTGTTGGTTTTTCTGAATTGTATATTATTTAGACACAAAGGTAACAAAAATTTAGTTTATTTGTTGGACTAGTTATTTTAAAATATTTTACGCTTTCAGTGTACATTGATGTTATTAAATATTATTTATTGAAGTAATTAGATAATTTAAATACTTATTCGAAAGTCCTATTGAGAAAAAAAAAAAAGCTACAACATGTTGAACCAAGTTGTGCCAGCAATACTCTATGTATGTTTAGACAAAATCTGTTCACCACCAGATTTTTTATGATAAATTCTATCTAATTAAAATGAAAACATTGGAATTCAGCATTAATTTATAAATCCTTCACAGTTCCAAAAGAACTTCTAAGATGTAAACTTATAATAAGACTTTTTCTTGTGCATTTAATTTATATAGTGTATTAACAATTTTCTTAAAAAACCATGTTTATATGTCAGTGTCTGTTTGTGTGTATGTGTGTGCAAATATATGCGGATCCAGATGTTACTAAATAGTAGGCATTCTATGTCCCCATCAAGGTATTGATTTTTCTGGAATCACGGCCATAAAACATTACAATGGAATCTATTGTGTGTGTGCGTCCACCAGTTCTTTTCAATGTTGTGGTCGAACGTCATTCGCCTATCTAGTTCATGTAATTTATTTACCATTCAACCCAAAAATAAATTACTATTTGTTTATAATTAAACATTCAAACACAAAATCTCATCTAGCGTATAATTCCTAGCCAAAACCTGAACTCCTGGGCTGAAGTGCAGTTACTAGATACTAATTTATAGTCAGTTGTGGGGTAACTCTACTTAGCCTTTTTAAAATTCCTCCTCATAAGTACCGGTATAGTATCTGAGCTCATAGGTTATTACACTTTTGTGTTAAATAAGTCTTGTTTTGTTAGCGTTTTTTTTAACATTATTATACTTTAATTTGTGTCTACTTTTAAATCTAGAATTCTAGATGAATCTAAATGGGTGTCACTTAAGTCTTAAATGTTTCTTCATGTATTCCCAAAATAACTACTTATGTAATATATATCTAATGTCCCCAAAATAATTGTTGTATTGTCTTTTAGTAAACAGCTAGTGTTCTAAGGAAATAAACATTATTTTAAAATAACTTTTTGTTCAATATGTACTAGAATTTTTATTTTTAAGAACCTTGTTACATTTAGTAGTTTTTGTAAATGTTGACCTAAAAAATTGAAACAACTTATAGATCCATGTTATAGATCTAGATGTAAATTTAGTTTGGTCTACTTCTAAAATTCACAATTGTTTGTTGGTATCAAGTGATCAGAAAATCTTGGTGTAGAAATTTAAAATTTGTAATTAATAATTACAAATTTTGTTTAGAAAAATGTTTTTTCCTCATTGCATGCTTAACATAAATTTCTTTGAAATCGTTAATAAAGTTAATGGCATGCAGATGCAAAAACACACATTAAATTATACAACTCAAAAACAAAAAATGCATTCATAGAAATAGGCTGCTTGCCAATAGAATAGGGATAGACTTGCTGAGTCCAAGAGGCTTCAGAGATTTTTGAAGGGGCTCTCCAACCCAGCACATCCATAAAATGCATATATATGTATGTAGATATATACATACACACACACACACACACATATATATATATATATATATATATATATATATATATATATATATATATAGGGCCTATATAATACACACAAATATATACATACTAGGCATACTCCCTAGCTTTGCCAAGGTTTTAAAAAAACTTTTGAGATTTGAATGATAATTAATTTGTGATTGGCTGTTATGTAGAGTGCTTAAGTTTAAACAGTCTGAGAAATTTCATGTCAGAGAAACGTTGGAGGAATATTCGCAACATTATTACTCGCAAGATGATTAGAATTGCAAAGGCTTCCTTAATAGTATAACTCAAATATTATATTAAATTAATGTTAACAATGTAATTACAATACATAACTTAAGTCTAGTCATCTATAGAGGTGCAACAAAAAATTAGCCAAATGTATAGACGAAGGCATGCTAAAATCTTTGTTGAAATTACCCTCTGTTTCCCATAAATTACAAAGATTATATAGGGAAATACGACTGGTCAGTTTTGACCAATTTCCAAATTTTTCCTGGATATGGGGAGGTTTTTTCTGAAAACCCTAGGCGTTTTTCTAACACCTCACAAAATACCAAAGGGGGGGGGGGGGTCGTTCGGCAAAAGTGCACCCGAGCACTTTTCTTTATATACTATATAGGGTATAGCTAATTGCACACAATTTTTAAAATAAATAAAATGACAAAATAATGACGGGATTGTATTAAGGGGACTAAACGTTGCAAAATTATACCAACTTTATGTTTATAGGATAAACGGTTCTCTAGATATGACGGTTTTATTGTAAAAATTGCGTTGACAACTAAGCCTATGGAAAATGAAAACTGGTCACGTCGAGAGTAAAGAGAAAAGGCGAAAGGGAAATAACTCTGCGTAGGCGCACAATCATAAAATTTTCAAATAAGTATTTTTTAATGCATATTAATAGGCCGTTCGAATTCACAGCTTCCGGGTTTGTTGTTTTGAAGCCATCTCACGGCTCATGCGCTTACCAAAAATGGCGACCAGTTTCGCTTTCACTAATGGGTAGAGCGATAAAACTAATGATTACGAAGCCATCGTTAATTTAAGAAATCGGAACTATCCGTTTCTATTTAAGTCTGTTATTTAAGAATTGTCGGATCTACTTTTGGCCTAATTTCTATGTTTGTCTCGCAAGCGGCGCCTTAGTGAAAGTAGCTCTATATAATTCTTATCTTTCGAATCAAATAACTATAAAATACCGCAGGTATTTTTAACCAGACTATTGCTATTTTTTACTTGAAAGCATTAATTTTACACACGTTACAATAAACTGGTAATAATTTATGGTAGGCATGAGATATGCTCTGTAAGAATAATAATGCCATTTTATTATAATCTTTTTTGGTGAACACGAAGCGCGGGAAAATGTGTGACGCGCAAGAATCCAATCATTCGGCTAGATTTATGACTGTTTTTTATGTCACACCTAAAAATAGAATGTTTACGCTTTCTTCATTGATGATCGTTTTCATTATTTTTTTAAACTGAAAGCATGAATTATTAGTTAGATTTCAGGTTTTGTAACTTGGTATACTTACCCTTTATCAAAATTAAAAGCATAGCATGCTGATTGTGAACAAATATAGTCATAAAACACAAATATAAAGTTACAAACAATGCGATGTCGGGATGTGCCACACCCCCTCAAGAAAACACGTGTTTATTAAGCTGTTTATCTCACTTTACAACAGTAATTAAAATTAATTTTCAAATTTTTATCACTTATTGGGTAAGATTAAGCACATATTTACTAAAAATGAAAAAAAAACAAAAGCAAATTCTGTTTTAATGAAGGTCACGGGTCAAGTTTTTTTTTCCTTCTGTCATGTTCAGTGGAGGGTGCCACAGGCTGACCTGACTTTGGAATTTTTTTCAGTAATAATGACTTTGCACAGAAAGTTAAAATATGCTAAATTGGCTTAGTTTACTAGTGTGCAAGCTATTATTGATACATTTTTAATAAAAAAATCATTCTGTAATTCTCATCAAAAAGCCTAATATTAATACATTAATAAATTATTTTATTAAAAAGGGGTCTATTAAAAATTATTTAAATAAAAATAGACAACTGGCTAGATTAAATCATTTAACTCAAACGTCATAGTAAAAAAAAAGGAACTAAGTTAAAAAATAACATTCCTGTGATAGATTGATGTTTCTATTATTCTACACTGGACGAAACCATGTTGATATATCTAGACTTTTATTCAGCTACCATGACGGAACAGGAACAGGAAGTCACATGACATAAATATATAAGGGACATCACCCAAAACAACATTATAAATATAAGACTAATACAAGAAGAGTGAGTTCCCTTGACATCACAATTCTCAATATATTACATCCCTTTACCCTTAGTAAACAACAATACAGCTCTCAATAGAACAAATGATAGTATCCTAAAAATCACCAAATATATTGTAACATGAACATTATATGATTTGAATCATTTGGTAGATTACATCCTTACAACAAATGCAAAATATGCTACAACATAATTGAAATACAAAACAATGATGTCAAAGTCCTCTTGGCCTTTAAAATCATAGGTCTAACTTATCTGGGACTTTAATTGTCCTGCTTGACCTTCTCAGTGGCTTTTGATTTGGTGACTCAAGATTCTGACCATCTGGACTCTCTAGCTCAGGAAGTCCAGGATCTAAATCATTAATTCCAGAATTTACATTTTCTGACTCTAGAGTACTTGGTTTACTCATATCAACAGAACTTGGTTGTGGAACAAACTGAGATGGTGTGAACTGGTCAGATCTGGTGGGATTGACAGATTCACACTTATTATCTGCACAAGTTATTTTTAACTGGTCTGCATGTCTACAGACAACAAGTCCATCATTTGTTTTTACTTTATAAGACACAGGTCCTGTACATTGAACAATTTGACCTGGTATCCATTTTTCCCCTCTCCCATAATTTCTCAGAAACACATTATCATTAACTCCAAATTCTCTCTCAATGGATGTTTTGTCATGATTTACTTTTTGTGTATGTTGATGTTGGGAAACAGACCTTTGAACAGTTGGATGTAGTAGGTCAAGGTGAGTTTTAATTTTCCTACCGCATAACAATTCGCATGGTGCAACACCTGTTGTTATATGAGGAGTTGTGCGGTATTTGGC